AGAAAATAGAACTAAAAGTATTATTATGTGCAGAGGACGAAATTGTAAGCCAACAAGTAGAGCTTTTTGTCGCCACTTTTTTGCTGTCTTTTATTAAAGTATGCGAAAGCAGAGATTACTCCTAAATTCGCCGATTCAATTGCCAAAATTCCCCGGACGAGATACTTCTTCCTTTTAAGGACGCACCTATGTTTAATGAGACGATAATGTCTGTGACGCTGACGGCCCAAAGGTAGATGCTTTCATTGTTGCTTTTTAATTTCCTCAGAAATTAATCGAGAACTTGTAGCTGATCAGATTATACTATGGTCTTTAGACGCATACCGAAGTTGGATGTGTGAATATTTGGGCCAAAGTCCATCAGCCATGACGGGATGACCGCGTAATATTCATTAAATGCCGACAAGCAGGTAATAGTACATTAGGTGGGCTGACTCATAAAATGTCAACCGAAATTCGGAAATGCGTTTTCATTTCGAAATGCTTAAGTAGTGTTGTAAAACTAATCATCGTGCAGCATAACGCTATAATACTTCAGTTGCATCAGGATGCCGGCTTTCGAAAGATCTTTTTTTCCGGCCGCAGGCAAAAACTATACTCTGTAAAAATGACTATTTCTGCAGCATGCATTTTCTCACTGATTTCCGATGCCCTTAAAAATTCAATTGCATTGCTTGGAAAACATGCATAAAATGTTCATTTTTTGCTCATTCGGTAGTAAATTAAGTCGACTTACAACTTTATACTCGAAAGACGGGCGTAATTCGGTTTTCAAAAACTCTTCCGATTTCCGAATAATTTTGAATCCCGACCTGCCTTTACACTTGCATTCAGGGTTTCAAAACTACAAGCCGTATATTTTCTGCGTACGGTAAACCATATATTTCTCTGCGAAATTGAGAGGAGGCCATCTGGGGTTCATGAAATTTGGCAGTGGATTTGAGCCATATCGTAAACTTTACAAGAAATATTATTAAATATTAAGACTAAGTATTTTATGAACGAGCATTTCATGATATCGAAAAATCTCACAATTAGAAGCTTTTTAAAAACCGAATTATGCCCTTCCTTCGGGTATGAAATTGGGAAAAAAGGCGTCATTTTCCCCCGAATGAGTAAAAGAGCGAATATTTCTTTGCATGTTTACCATGAAATATAATTAAATTTTTAAGGGCGTCGAAAAGCAACGTGAAAAAATCATGCTGTATAAGTAGTCACTTTTTACAGATTGTGGTTTTTGCATGCGGCCGGAAAAAAGTTCTTTCGAAAGTCGGCACCTCGAGGTAACTAAATTTTTATAGAATTATACTGCCTGATGATTGATTTTAAAGCCTCACTTAAGTAATCTTTTCGAAACGAAAACGCAATTCCGAATTTCGGTCAACATTTCATGAGCTGACACACCTACTGTTGGTCGTATACCGTATGCCACTGAAGAGTGCCATAAGGTTCATTTTAGAAAGGAGCTATTGTGTGGGAGTGGGGGGAAACTGTGTTATCCCGTCAGCTGGCGGTCTTCCAATCCCCTCTTGGCGGTTTAAATGCCCAGGCGGTTGTTTCAAGTGAGGAAAACAAGCGCTGGATCAGGGATAGATAGGCCTGAAAAGTTTCTATCAGCCCTACTCGCAGGGAGCTGGGACCATCATCGCCCCGGTCACCTTATTTCCTTCGAGGCCTCAACAATTCCAATTCCCTCCATTTCGGCAGGAGAGTTCCTGCTGCAAAACGACTTCATGTTTACCCAGACGCGCTGAGCTACGGCAATTCAGCCACATTCCGCTCAGGCGTCCACGTCCCACCAGAGCACACCATCTCTTTGTTCCTACAACAGACTACTTCAACGACAATAATTTAACTATCGCGAAAGACCTTGTCACCGGAAACTCCATGAAGTAGGCGTGAGATGACGACTTTCGCGTAAATTAGTTTACAGTGGGACCGACTTGCACAGAATGTCCCACACCCCCACCTGACTCATCCGCCTTTTTCTCAGTGCCAAGACAACAACAAGACGATCGGAGATGGACTTGAGGGCCGTGGTGGACAGATATAAACAGCCCGTCTCGCCTGCCCTAGATTTGTTATGGTGAAGGATACGCTCATTTGCCATGGGAAGGGATTTCCCAGTGTCTCCCTCACTTTCTTTTCCCTCTCCCATGCGCAAGTCGGCTTTCTGGGTTTATCAACCAACCCGTGTTGGGATGGGCACGGTGACTGACAGAACATGAAAGCCTACGTATACACGCCCGCCTCAACACGACAGTTTGCCCGTCAGCAATTCTAACGAGGTACAACCGTGTGCCTCACTGCAGGTTGAGCTCATAGACGGTGAGTAGCGTAGTTTATAGGGATAGGGGGGCTTTCGTGACATCTAAACCACCCTCTCCTCCTCTTCTCCAATCTCTGCCGAGTGCCATGACAGAGTCAAGAAGACCGGAGGCGGGAGAGGCCGCGCGTGAACCCGCACCTGAGCACGCCACCACTTCAGCACAGGCAGTCACGAGTTAACTTCCAGGCACACGTAAAACCAGTTGTCTCTACGATTTCATTGGTTGTCATACGTAAGTAACACTATTGGCGCACACTCTGACTTCACAGCTTCCACCATTGTCTGATTCTGTGCACAATAAACCTCTCATTCTGCGCCTATCTACCTACAATAATGATCGGGACCTGGCCTAGTGCTCATGGTGCCCCAAGTGCACCCTACTATTTTAACTGCTACAACCTCCTCCATTTTCTGTGGTTCAGTGATCTGTCCAAAAATATATGGCACACATTCCGTGGAAGGGGAAAGTTTGCGGCTCATCCGATGGGACCGGGCCACACATCCAAGTTTAACGAGGTCGAGATTCTTGCGTCAGGTGACAATCGAGTGAGACGCGAGTCATGATTCACTGGGCCCCAGTCTTTTTTAAAATAAATACAATGACCGCCGCCTTCCTTATTCAGCGTCCTCCTAGCTTGGGCAGAGTAGGTAGCCACGCGGGGGACGCACAGGCGAGCACTATTCCCAATGCCAAGTCCGGTGGGCCAGACGGCCGAGTACTCATCACGTTGGCCTCCAACACGGGTGACGAAATCGCAGCGATCAACGACTCTAACACCGGCCACCAAGCCATTATCTCACCAAGGACAAGCGACTGCGTCCTGTAAAATAATCCAATCATTTTTAACTTTTTAAGTGGAGTTTGCTTCACCTCTCGCTAGTCACCTTTCTCATCGGACTACTAATTCAGAAACTATGAATTGCATGTTGTACAGATTCTGCCTACCTCGTCTAAAATTCTATGTAAATTTATTTTTACTTGCTTTGCTGGAACCCCGACGGATCTGTAGTAAAAAAATCATTATTAAATACTACAAACCCCTGTGCATAAATTGCCCACACCTGATGCTTTGCCTCTGATGATGGGTTGAGCATGAGTCATAAACGTTAGGGGAATACAGCTCTTGTTCTAGCGATTGCATCTACTCTCTCTTTGTACGAACGATAATCACTGTAATACTACGTTAGTTTAACCATAAATGTTTTGCTGAGGTTCAAATCAAATGAAGTGTAATCCTGACACCGTTAGCAAGTACCAGTTATACAATTTCGGACTTCATATATGCAAATGCATGGACAAGTTCTGTAGCCGCTGAATATTCAAAATACCCTGATAAATAAACTGTTCCCCATCAGCAACAAGCCTTTGCCTAAGTGTACAGTAGATGCGCTAACTCATGAAATGTTAACCGAAATTCTGAAATTCGTTTTCGACTTGGAAAGATTGCTTAAATAGGGTGATAATATTAATTAGTATGCAGCATAGGCACAAGATAATTCAGTTATGTCGGGATGCCGGCTTTTGAACGAAATTCTTCCTGGCCGTCTGTAAGAATTACACTTCGTAAAAAAATGACTACTTGTGTAGTATGAATCTTCCTCATGTATTTTTGGTGCCCCTATAAAGTCAGATATATTTCCTAGAAGAAGTGCATAAAAATATTCATTATTGTACTCATTTGTTAGAATATTACGTCTTCTTTAAATGTTATATTTGAGAAAAGAGTATAATTCAGCTTCTAAAAAAATTCAATTTCAGAATGATATTAAAGCGACCTGCCGTTACATTATCATTCACGGTTTCAAAACTACAAGCTGCACATTTTTCGCATGTAGAAAACCATACATCTCTGCAAGCTATTAAGAGGAGACAATATGGGGCTCATAAAATTTAACAGTATATATGAACCATTTTGTAAACTTCAGAAACAACATTAGTAAGTGCAGAAACACGAAATTTTATGAACTGGCAATTCACGGTTCTAAAGAATCCCATAATTATAAACTTTTTATAAACCGAATGATACCCTTCCCTTGAGTATAAAATTAAAGAAGACATAATATTCTACCAAGTGAGTAAAAGAATGGATATTTTATGCACGTCTTCTATGAAATGTATCTGAATTTATAAGGGTGCCGAAAATCAATGAGAACCATTCATACTACCTAAGTAGTCATTTTACAGAGTGTAATTCTTTCAGACGGCCGGAAAGAAGTTCGTTCAAAAACCCGCATGCCGAGGTGACTGAAATATCTTGAGATTATGCTGAACGCTAATTAGAATATTGCCGCCTCACTTAAGTAATCTTTCCGAGTCGACAACGCATTTCAGAATTTCGGTTAACATTTCATGAGTTAGCACATCTACCGTAAATTTTGCAGAGACCCTTTTTCATCCTTGAGAGTTGCTTAATCACCCTTCGTGCCCACAACTCAAAAGGACGATTAAAACTCCTGAGTTTGGGGACTTGCTGTGACGAGGGTAGAAGGAAACCATTCTTAGTAGAGGATCGTCGTGCAAATGCATACATAAGACAGAAATTGTGGCTTTACAAGACGTAAAAAGTACGTGTGCCCTTAGTACACCAAACTCATGCTGGCTACTGTACATGAGAATGAGGTGGTACTTGTTGGTGTCTGGGGGAAAGGGGCAAGATAGGCTGACAGACACCTAGATCACGGCCTTCTGAGAGGGGTTTTCGTTGGGCTCCGGGGCTATGCTAGCCAATGGGGGTTCGCCTAACTGCTTGCGGGCCCTGCGAATGGCATGCTTGAGAGCTGTGTGGGTCCCGCGTCTCCGGCGTTTGGCGAATGGCACCAGAAGCCTGCTGTCTTTGCCACCACCGGCTGCCGGCACCTGTTGATCACTAGTCGTCTCGCCACAGTCGGTTTCTTCAACTCGTATGGCATCACTTTCGACCTCCTCGGTGCTGGCCGCTTCCCTCAGTTCGGATTTGTCGCTCGAGTGTCGGCGACGGTACATGCGTGTCTTCATGGCGGCCGTGATGCCGGATTGGGAGCGTCTGCTCTCAGTGCCAGGCGCCTCCTGTTTGCCCTCGCTCTCTGACGAGGCCGAATCGTTTTCATTCTTCCTCGCCTGGGCGTAGACAAGAAACAGGGGGGTGGGAGTTAGTGAAAAAAACTGACAATAAACGGGTTCCGTTGAATCGTTTTAAATCAGTAAGCATCATGCCATACTTCCTACTTCAAGTTGAATCAAGGTTCAGCAGATCATTAAACAAGTTTACTCATACTTGGTGGATCCCCCTCCTTGCCTCAACTCGTCTCTGCCTGCTGTCGATGATACATGAGATTTAGTCTTACAGAAGAAGATGCGATCACTGGAACAAGACGTATATTGGCCTGACGTTTCGGACCCTCACTCGAACCCATCATCAGGGACGGTTGCAGATAAAGGTCAACCGTCCCTGATGACGGGTTCGAGTGAGGGTACGGAACATCAGGCCAGTAAACGTCTTGCTCCAGTGATCGCATATTCTTCTTCTGAACTGCTTCCTGGAACTCGCCTGTTTGCTTATATCGGCATTTAATCTTACTTTGCCATGTTCCAAACGTCCGAAAGCACAAGTCTGGACCGAGAAAGCGTCTGTACCTTTGGTGTTCTGGGGGAGGGAGGCGCATTAGCCGAAGTACTTCAAAGCCTACTCTCTTAGATTCCAGAAAGAGGAACCAACTACTCATGTCAGAAATCGGATTTTCAAAATTCTGGATGATAAGGCGTCCATGGGTTGCTACGTTGTCATCCTGGAAAATCAATCTTGGCAGGCTTGGAAATGTTGGAAATGGATGTAATCGCAATGTCTTGATAGAGAGCAGGTCGTAGGCGGTTCCATGGAGTGGAACCGGTCCGATCTATCCCGATCTCAGCAATACTGACCAAATATGTACGGAAAGTCTGCCATCCCGCACATCCAGGATACCCATTCTGTTACAGGATCTTCGGTCCTCCATCCCCAGAGTCTGGTCTCTTCCATTAATTCTGCTGAATCAAAACCATGACTCATAAACTGAAGACTTTCTTTTATGTCAAATCGCGGAACTCCGTTCAGAAGCGCACTTTGTGACAGATTCTCTCGTCCTTCGAAATGTACAAGTGAAATTCAATCATCGATTCGTCTCGAACTAGACGTTTTGGACAAAAAACGGGTAAGCTGTGGTTTGGTAGCCCCACATGATGAATACAGTACTGTTAAGGTTGGGGTTAAGGGTCAGGTTTACGGGTTAGGATTAGAGGTTAGGGTTAGGAGTTATTATTAGGGGTTATGGCTAGGGATTGTGGTTAGGGGCTAGGGTTAGGGGTTATACTTAAGGGTTAGGGCTTAGCGCAATTAGTTCTCAACCGTTCAAAGTACAACCGCTCATTCCCAATAGCTTCTCTTTTGCATACAACTACTTGACCTCGTCGCCTGTGCGTTCCCCGGCTCCAGCTGTAAATCCCCTATTACTACATGTGCCGTATCAGAGGCGACTGCGTTTTGTTTACTTCAGGTGAGGCTACATAACCCCATCCAACCCAAATACGGTTTAAGACACCGTGGCTGAATGGAAACCATAAACTGGCCCACATGAAATGATCTATGCGACCGACAGCATGCA